CCCCGTCTCTCCCCCCCCTCCCCACTCCCGCCTCCCCCGCAGGCACTGCACAGGCTCCCTGCTCGCCACCGCAGCAACTCCGGCTCCTGCTTTTCCTCAGCCTCAGAGAACCTCCGGGCCACCGCCCCTGCTGCTTTACTTGGTGAGTTGCAACAGGCGGGCCATGCCGGCTACCACTTATTTTAGGTCTGTATCTCGTAACTGAACGGTGCTGGGGAAAAAGAATGGTGCCGACTGGCCTCACTGTAACTTCACAAGCACGCTTTTCCAGCCTCAAAGCTGCGTGCGATCCCATTCCATCTTCTCCCCAGCTCGAAAGCGACCACTTTCAACAGGCCCTGCAGTGCCCTCACACACACCTCTCCCCAGCCACAGCCCAAGCTCTTCTTGTCAGTCTCGGAGGTTAAATTTGTTACTTCCTCAGAAAGGCATTCCTCCAGTCATTAATCACATACTTTTATCAAGACATTTATTGCTACCTGACACGCTATTTACACATTGAATACCTGTTTCTTCACTACCACAATGTAAAGCTCCACAAGAGCAGCCGCTGCACAGCAGACCAAGTCAACTCCTGACCTTACCTCCAAACACAGGTTTGCTGTCCGGCGTGCTGGCCACGTTGAAGGCAAACGGTGTGCTCTGGCTGGGCGCGCCCAAGCTGTTCTGACTCAAGCCTCCCCCGAAAAGGGTCGTGCTGCCAGTGGTCCCACTCTGTCCTGCTCCAAAGCCGAACGCTCCAGAGGCAGAGCTGGTGCCTGGGGTGGCCGCACTGATCCCAAAGCCCCCGCTGCCGGCTGGGGCTGCTGGTCCCCCAAATGTGAAGGGCGATGGTGTCGTGCTGCCGAACACTGAGCTACTGGTCCCACTGCTGGCGGTCTGCGTTGTAGCTCCAAAGCCAGTGGTGGTGGCTGCACCGAAGGAGAAGGCAGCTGTGGTGCCGCCAAAGGCTGGCTGGGTGCTGGCAGGAGTGCCAAAGGCAGAGGCCGTGGCCTTCAGACCACTGAAAGCCGACTGCGCGGTGCCACCAAAGGCTGGCTGGGCCGGGGCTGGGGCTGGCGCTGGAGCCGCAGTCGGGGCCGGGGCTGCAGAGTTTCCAAAAGTGAAAGAGCTGCCGAAGCTGGGGACGAGGGCCGACTTGGCAGCCCCCTGCTGCTGCCCATCCGCAGCCCCGAAGGCGGGCTGGGGGTTGGCTCCTGGGTAGGACGGGGGAGGTGGCTTGGCGCTCGAGCCGAAGGGAATGTTGAACGCCGGGGCGGTGGCGCTACTGAACGTCAGCGTGGGCTGGCTGCTGCTGACTGGGGCTGAGGCGGTGAGGGTGCTGCCAAAGCCACTAAAGCTGGCTGTGCTGCTGCTGCTGCTGCTGCTGGGGGTGGTCTGGGCGGCACTGGGAAGGGACTGGCCAAAGGTGGCGACTGCTGTTGAAGCAGGCATGGCGGGAGGTTTGCCAAATTGGAATATGGGGCCCACAGCTGGGGTAAAGCTGGCACCGGAAGCAGGGGGAGTCCCAAAGAGGAAGGGCTGGGAGGCGGAAGCGGTGGTGCTAGTCACGCTGCTCGGGGTGCTGGTCGCGGTGCGCACACCGAAGCTGAACGCGGGCTTCGGAGCAGAGTCTGCGGAGGTGCTGGCTGTGGTCATGGACACCACTGCAGAGGTGGCGCCAGCCTGGCCGCTGAGGAGAGGGGCGCTTGTGGAAGTGGCTGGAGTAGCTGTTTGCTTGAAGGAGAAGGGAGTTAACATGGGCACAGATGCAGGTGGCCCCATGTTGCTAAAGATAGGCTTGAAAGTGAGGGGTGGGCTGCTGGTCGTCGTGGGGACGGCTGAGCTGGAAGATGCGGCGGCTGTGACCTTGGAAGGGCTAGAGGGCAAGGGGCCCTCATTCTCACTTTTAGGTGGGACCACAAAAATGGGCTTGAACATGGGAGATGCTGAAGACACAGCAGGGGCCACAGAGGCAGGAGGGGTAACAGGTGGGGTGCTCAGCATTCCAAACAGAATACTCTGCTTGGGGCTGGGAGACGGGGCGGACGGGGCTTGCGATTTGGCAGATGTCTCAGCCTGAGGGTCCGGAGGTGACTTGGCGTCAGTGACTGGTCCTGGGGAAGCAGCAGGGGTCAGCCCCAAGAAAGTGGGGGTGGATTTGGAGTCTTCGGAGGTGCCTGGAAGGGGTGCTGACTCTGAAGAGCCCAGAGGGGCCAGAGGGCTGGGTGTCTTCGGAGGCGAATGGGCCACAGTGGCTGCCACGCCAGCAGCTTCTGGGAAGAAGAGTAGAGAAAGTGAATTTGGAACGTCTCAAACGATGCGGTGTTCAATGCCCAGCACAGCGCTAGGGACTCAACAGTCAACAATTATGACTAAATCTATGCCACAGGCCTTTAAACTGTTCATTCCTAAAAGTCAAAGAAGTGTTCATAATTTCTACCCTTCAGAGGTCATAAGAAAAATAGAAGAGGATAAAACTTGGCCCAGTTGGGGGTTAAATGTGTAGAAACTAAGAAAAATCCAATTACCTGAACTCAAGTCCAATTAATTATGTAGATATACCTTATTCATCTAACAAAGATGTACTGTATTACATTCACCCACCAGGCGCTAAGTACAGAGCATCTGACCATGAATGAGATGGTCTCTGCCCGTGAGCCCTGGGAGAGGCTGGATACCTAACACATTCTGCACTGTGATGAAGTGCAGAAGAGGAGAGTGTATGAATGCAGAGCCAAGAAGGCAAAGGGGCGGGAACAGCCAGCAGGTCCTTGGAAGCCTAGTACCTTGTGCCTGCCGTCTAGCAAGCACGTGACAAGACACCTTAACCATGTGACCGTTTATACTTCAGGGACAGCTCATGAGGTGAGCACTGTTCTTATTTTACAGATGAAGACAACAAGGCTCAGAGCAGCTAAGGGACTGGGTTTCAAATCAAGAGCTATTTGACTACCAAAGCTAAGCTGCCTTCCCCAGCTTTAAGTGTTGCAGCCCTTCCCTAAAATGTCCTGATTACAGATTTCTAAAGCTCTTAAGCTTGCACCAGCTCAGGTTTGGGAAGTTAGAATAGGTTCAACCTTTACAGCAATTTCCAGCAACTGACGGGCATGGTGCTTTTACTTCCACCTAAACAAAGGCTGATGTCATTACGTGCTCTAAAGTGAGCTCTCCCACTCACCGGGGAGGGATGGTAGGCCTGGGGAATTCTGCATCTTCTTCAAGCTCTCCAACAGTGGGTTAGTGCTTGGGGCTGGGAGCGAGGTTGGGGATGAAGCAGTCCCAGCAGCAGGCAGTGTAAAAGTGAAAGAAGACTGACTGGTAGGTGGGTTCTCAGTGACAGAGTTTGAGGCAGTATCTAGGGAAGAAAGAAAAGATGACATTGTCCTCCCTTGTTTGGGAATTCTTTCCAGTGGCATATCATGGAGCACGGGGAGTTCAGGGCCTCAGGACAACTCATTTAGAAAGGCTTCCCTTCAGTCTCAATGCTCACTGTTCTCCAGATTCCACTGAGGACCCAAATGCACTTCCTAGATGAGAAAGACCAAAATAAAACCAAAGGAAACAAACCCTCTCTGGGGTGTGAAACTGATCTACGTTCCTTACCAGTCTTATCCTCCAAGACCTTGTTAAACCACTGTAAAGAAGCTTTCTTTTCCAAGTCTAAGTCTTCAGCAGTGATTGAATAACCAAGCTGGGGAGGTGGAGGCTACCAAGGAGAAAAAGAAGTTGTCAATCAGGAGAAACTGGAAGAATCCTATATTCCTAAGACAGAGTTAAGTGGGGGTGGGCAGAGGTAGATGGATAAGACCATACCAAGGTCAGCTGGTCCCCTCGCCTGGAGGGCAGCAACTGAACCTTCCGTTTACGCTGCCCAGAGCTGCCAGGTGTTGATGGGGAATTCCACGAGTTCTGTTTCTTCCACGTGGTTTTATCTGCAACTAAAAAAAAAGAAAGACTTGTTTTCTTCCTCCTCTCTGCCAGAAATGGATAGGTTTGTCTATCCCGGTTTTTTTGTTTTATTTTGTTTTGTTTTGTTTTGTTTTGAGGTATGTGGGCCTCTCACTGTTTTGGCCTCTCCCGTTGTGGAGCACAGGCTCTGGACACGCAGGCCCAGCGGCCGTGGCTCACAGGCCCAGCCGCTCCGCGGCATGTGGGATCCTCCCGGACCAGGCACGAACCCGTGTCCCCTGCATCGGCAGGCGGACTCTCAACCACTGCGCCACCAGGGAAGCCCTATGCCATTTTTAAACATTGAGTTTTCAATGGGTATCTCTGAAAGATTCGATCTTCCATGATTTGGGCTCTTGGATGGTGTCTGCAAGATTATATAGTCAAGGGCTTCCCTGGTGGTGCAGTGGTTGGGAGTCCGCCTGCCGATGCGGGGGACACAGGTTCATGCCCCGGTCCGGGAGGATCCCACATGCCGCGGAGCAGCTGGGCCTGTGGGCCATGGCTTCTGGGCCTGCGCTCCGCAGTGGGAGAGGCCACAACAGTGAGAGGCCCGCGTACCGCAAAAAAAAAAAAAAAAAAATTATATAGTCAAGAGGATATAAAGGCAGAATTGCTCCAAATGCAGGTATACAACTGCTTGCTGGACAATAATTATCTGGATTGGTCACAGATACCTCAACCTAAGCTTATTTGTAGCCCACCGTTACCACACGTTATACTGTACCTGTGTCACCTTTCTCCCTTACCTGACTATAAATTTCTGAAGGACAGAAACTCCTATCTCTGTATCTAACAGGCCGTTCACAAGGCAATGCTCAACACTTCCACCACCAAAAGCCACTCTAGTGCATTCATCAACTTACCCTTTTCTCCCTGGGACTCCTTGTCTGTTACCAATGGAGTTGAAGAACTAGAATGATGAGAAGGCTCCTCTTCTCTGTAGGAGGAAAAGGCAGAATTAAGCTTAAGAAAGACTTGCTGACAAAAAGTACTGGATAACTTCTTGTACCTGCTTACCTACCAACTGGTCTAGAACAACCATGATATAAGACCTCAGTATGCCAGGAGAAAAAATAAAAGAAGTCAAAAGAAAATTCCAACAGAAAAGAATGGAGGCAGTTCATGGAAACCAAGGAGAAAACTTTGTCTTACAACAAGCACAAATCAGTGATCTTCAAAACCTTACTTACAACCCACCAAGTCCCTGAAAGTTCTAAGTCACAGATCTGATCCCTAACAGAATGACATTCAACGTGACTGTAGGTACCTAGAAGGTCAGTTGGAGTCAAAAACATGGAAGTCCGCTGCCCGATGACATAATTCACTCTGTTCATTCTATTCTGTGTGGCCTCTACTCTTGCACCCCTGTCACTCACGCTACAGTGTGAGGAAGAGAGCCAGAGGCCTCTACAGTTGGTACAAAAGAACTGTAAGAGATGAGAGCGATTCAGGCGGGCACTTCACTGTCCTCTAGATGTTAATTTCTTTGATCCTCCAAATCAGAGTTGCAGAAAGCCTAACAGCCGAGTAAATGTCCCTCTTTTCCTGACCTCTCAGTAATCCACACAGCAAACAATAATGGATTACCTTATTTTCTTTGCTGGCCGCTCTGGTGTCTGGGAGCGGGATGAGGCTGGGCTAGAGAAGGGAGATGAACCGGGTCCACTCCTCTTCCACAGCTAAAAGTCAAACACAAATAACGTGACTGACCCTAGTTGATAGTTTATCATCTGACCTTCAATATAATGCTGTGGTTCTATTCATCACTGCATATAAAATCTCCTTTTAGGTAACTAAAAAAATATTTCTTTGTGAAGGAAGGCTCCTGAAAAGAAAGTCAATTGCCAGTATTAACTACAGGAGAAAAAGCCTGAAAAACGAATGGAACGCTAACTAATAAATGTAGAAGGAATGAATGTACTTTTGGCGTATATTAAAAAGGGGACTGTCACATTCAGTAATGGTTCAGAGCTATGATGTGCATACACGTTTACTCTGTATTGTCTGTGGAAATGATAAAAGTAAACTGTTCCAATGAAGATAAGCTAATAAACTAATTTAGTTTTGCTCTCATTAAATTTTCAGTTTTACTTTATTAACTTTATTTTTTTTAAATATACGATCATGGGGCTTCCCTGGTGGCGCGGTGGTTGAGAGTCCACCTGCCAATGCAGGGGACACGGGTTCGTGCCCCGGTCCGGGAGGATCCCACATGCTGCGGAGCGGCTGGGCCCATGGGCCATGGCCGCTGGACCTGCGCGTCCAGAGCCTGTGCTCCGCAACGGGAGGGGCTGCAGCGGTGAGAGGCCCGCGTACCGCAAAAACAAAACAAAACAAAACAAACAAACAACAACAACAACAACAAAAATATATATATACGATCATGACATCTATGACTTTTGCAGCATCAGTGGTATTTATAGTTATAATTATCCACGCATCTGTCTCTTCACCAAGTGGAGTCCCCTGATAGCAAAGGTAGTCTGTTTTCATCTCTGCCTCCTTCGAAGGGGCCTAGCAGCAAAGTACTTGACAAAGAGCAAGCTCTCTGCAAATAGGTTCACTGTCTCTGGCCTATTTACAAAGATACTGAACTATCACCATAGGCAATTTTCCTATTGAGAAGCTTCTAGTGATTTCTTACTCAGTAAAATTGCATCATATAAACACAAACAGGGAGGCAACAATACTTAATAAAAATTTTAAAAAGGTAAAGAGGGTTTTAAATCAAAGACAGGTGGTAGAGCAGTAGAATAGTTCCATAAGACTAATGTCAGGAAACCAAGACTCAGAATAAGCTTGAGAAAAAAAGCTGAAATCAATAATAGTTTTTTATGTTATGCTCAGGTAAATAACAAGAAAGGACAGCCATCTGAAAAAACAACAAATGCTTAGGCCTCACACCTGTATTTTTAACGAAGTGCCAAAGGTGATTCTAACCTTTAGCCAGGGTGGAAGACAACCTGGTTCAACAATTAGGAGGAAAATGTTCTATCTCTACTTCATAGACTATACACACACACAATCCAGGTGTCATAAAGAACTATTTAAAAAAAACAAAAGAGCTCTTAAATAACTTGGGGTAGGGAAAAGACTCTATTCCAGAAACAAAGAAAAGAAAACTGACAGACTGTCATAGGACAACTAAGAACCTCTCTAAATAAAAATGTCTCCATGTGGGAAGGAGACTTTACTCTATACTCTGTACCATCTGAATTTTCAACCACAGTAATGTTTCCATAAACTAGAAATAAAATGTATGTGGACACGAAACAAAAACACTCCAAAATGAAATAAAAACATAACTAGAAACAAAATTAGAAGGTACATATATTCAACTAAAGTGATAATATCCTTAACATGTAAAAGTGAAAGTCTTGCAATTCCATATAAACATAATAAACATATCAAATGAAAAGTGGGCAAAGGCTATACCAAGGCAAGTCATAAAAAGAAACAGTCCATCTATGTATCCAGCAGTCAATTTAGTTCTGCACTGTAATTCAATTTTTGTCAAGCTCCTATTTCATAAAGGTACTATCCTTTATACTTTACAAAGAATACAAGCAAGACCATTCCCATCATCAAGAAATTTACAATCTAGAAAAGAGATAGGATGGTACACAAATTGACTATAATAGACAAGAGATGAATGAAGTCTCTAAAAAGGAGTCCAAGAAGAGAGAGATTATGCAGGGTTCGGTTAGAAGAATAATAAAGGATGAAGGTGACATTTGTGATGGTCCTTCATAATCTGACAAAAACACCTGAAGAAAGACAAACTTTATAGGCTTGCAGTAGGATGGACACATGATTCCGGATGGAGAACAGGACAAGAAAAGGCAACAAAGCAGGAAGGAATTAGGTGCTCTTACAAGATAACAAATATGCTGCTTTGACTTAAATATAGGGTATATGTAAAGGAATAATAAGGGACGGGGTCAGAAATGCAAGCTAGGGTTTTGAGGTTTTGAAGGCCAGGGTTACTATTCCTACTTTGGAAAATTACAAGTCTTATATAAGACTTACGAAGATATCAATGTCACGCACAAGGAGATCTAAGGACAGTTCACTTTCTCTAATTGGCACCAGTCTAATATTTGTAACGATTTTATAATATCAAAGCTAGAACTTCTAGTTTGGGTAGCTGTGGGCTGGGTATATACTACTGCTCCTCTGGAAAAATACAATTAAGTCAAATATCTCTACTACCACTTGCACCAAATAGAAGGGCTGTCATCTCTATTGACTACTGGGGATGTTTACTGCTTCGGTACACATTTCTTTGAAAGAGAAGTTTCAACATAAACAACTTTCATATTACTCTAATCTCCACTTCCAAAGACTTCCTTACTTTCCTGATAATTTAAAATAACTCATGCCATGGACCATTTCAAAGATAATTATGATCAAAATTGAAAGTACACTATGCTCTTCGTTCTAGAACTTCTCCTTCTGACAGCATTATATATTCAAATATCACACACAAACACGGGACTGGTAGCTACTTACAATAAAACACCCAGACGCTATTAGTGTCAGTGAGTATATTACTTGCCGTAGGTCACAGGCTCTACCAGGGGTGAGGGTGCTTTAAAACAAAATCTGACCATGTTTCAGGCTGTGGGTTTGTTTGTTTGTTTTTTAATGCATAAGCACCATTTATTTAGTTTTTATTGATATATAGTTGATTTATAATGTTTCAGGTGTATAGCAAAGTGATTCAGTTATACATACATATATGTGTGTGTATACATTCTTTTTCAGATTCTTTTCCATTATGGGTTATTACATATTGACTACGTTGTTTCAGACCAACCCTGCTGTGGAGGACAAACAAAGAATGCTGAAGAAAATATACAATACGTATGTTTGAAGGTGTGGTGGTATGGAGAGCTACCAAGGCAGTGAGACACTGTGGAGGTAAGACAGAGAAGAGGAGCCAGCAGGTGAGAAGCCTCAGGGCGACTGCTCATTCCAAAAGTAAAAGCTGCAGTTGAGAGGCTGAGAAAAGCTTTTGGCAGCCCTGTAGGGCTGGGAAGACAAAAACCGGAATTCAGGGCTTTCCAAAGTAGCGGGGCTCTAATATACACCTTAGGCTTTTGGTTCGAATCCCAAAGGCTACATAGTAGGGTACAGGGCAAATCAGAAATAAACCAGCCCTCACAAGAACTGACAACCAGCTCAGAATCATGTCAATTCCAACTGTACAGGGGTAATCTGTCCCTATCCTAGCTGCCTGCCAGAGGCAAAAGACAGATCTCTCTGGAGGAAGATACTACCATTCAGAGCTTCAAGTCATTGTCCCCCCACCCCTCCAATGTCCTTCAGTAAAACAAAACAACAAAAAAGTATGTAAGAAGATAATATTCAAGGACCTCCCTGGTGGCGCAGTGGTTAAGAATCTGCCTGCCAATGCAGGGTACATGGGTGACAGCCCTGGCCCTGGTCCAGGAAGAAGATACCACATGCCATGGAGCAACTAAGCCTGTGCGCCACAACTACTGAGCCTGCGCTCTAGAGCCCGCGAGCCACAACTACTGAGCCTGCGTGCCGCAACTACTGAAGCCCACGTGCCTAGAGCCCATGCTCCGCAACAAGAAAAACCAACGCAATGAGAAGCCCGTGTACCAAAATGGAGTAGCCCCCACTCGCGGCAACGAGAGAAAGCCCGCGCGCAGCAACAAAGACCCAACACAGCCAAAAATAAATAAATTTTAAAAATTAATTTCTAAAAAACTAAAAAAAAAAAAAACACTAGAATTAAAAAGAAAGAAAAAAACTGTTATTATTGTAGACAACATGATGTACATACAAAAATCCTAAAGAATATACAGATGAATATTCAGAATTTAGCAAATTTTCTGAATACAAAAATCAGTTGTATTACTATATATCAGTAAATTTCTAATATGCTATTTATAATAGCATCAAAAACATGTACCTAGGAATAAATGTAATAAAAAATATGTAAAACCACTGCACAGATAAGTTAAAGATGATGTAAATAACTGAAGACTACCCCATGTGCATGGACTGGAAAATTCAATATTGTAAACGTCAACTCTCTCCAAAATAATTGGTAGATTAAAGGCAATCCCAATCAATATCTTAGCAAAGTTTTTGGTGTGGAAATTGACAAGATGATAAAATTATATAGAAATACAAAGGGCCAAGATCCAAGACAATTCTGAAGAGGCATGAGAGGAATGAGCAAGTTGGATGACTTACTCTACTAGATATCAAAACTTAAAGGCTGTGTGGCACGGGGAAGAAAAACAGACCAGTGCAACAGAACAGAATCTACAGATATACTGACACAAATTATGACAAAGGTGGTGCTGCAGAGCAATAGGAAAAGGACGGGCCTTTCAGTAAACGTTGCTGAGTCAAATAGATATTTAGATGGAAAAATACTAATTTTGATCCCTACCTTACATCACACATAAAAATCAATTTCAAGATGATTATAGATCTAAATGTAAAAAGGAAAAATAATAAAGCTTCTAGAAAGTAGCATAAGACAATATCATCATGACCTTAGGCAGGCAAAGACTTCCTCAACAGTACACAAAATACACTAACCATAAGTGAAAAGGATGAAACGGTGAGCCACAGAGTAGGACACTTACTTGTTGCAACACATATAATTCAGAGACGAGACCTTGTATCTAGAATATATAAAGACCTTACAAAAATCAGTAAGAAAAAGACAGACAACCTAATAGAAAAGAGCCAAGAAACTTGAACAGGCCCTTCATAAAAAAGGACATACAAATGGCCAATGAACAGCTGATACCTCTATTTCATTATTAATCAGAGAAAAAATACAAATTAAGACCACAATGAAATACTGCTTCACACTCACTGGAATATGGGCAATTAAAAGAGACAGGCAACAGCAAGCATCAGTGAAGATGTATAAACACGGGAACAAAGTCTCATACTGTGCTGGGAGGAGAATCAACTGAAACATCACCTTAAAAAGAATTACACAGGGAATAACCCTAGACCACTGGTGGTCCAGTGGTTAGGACTCTGCGCTTCTAGTGCAGGAGGCACAGGTTCGATTCCTGGTCGGGAAACTAAGATCCCACAAACTGTGCAGTATGGGGGAAAAAAAAGACTTATACAAAGCAGCACTATTCACAACAGCCAAGACATAGAAACAACCTAAATGTCCATCAACAGATGAATGGATAAAGAAGATGTGGTACATATATACAATGGAACACTACTCAACCATAAAAAAGAACTAAATAATACCACTTGCAGCAACATGGATGCAACTAGAGATTATCATACTAAGTGAAGTCAGAAAGACAAATACCATATGATACCACTTACATGTGGAATCTAAAATATGACACAAGTGAACCTATCTATGAAACAGAAACAGAATCACAAACAGAGAACAGACTGGTGGTTGCCAAGGGGGAGGGATGGAGTGGGAGGTTGGGGTGAGCAGATGGAAGCTTTTATATACAGGATGAATAAACAACAAGATCCTACTGTATAGCACAGAGAACTATATTCAATATTCTATGATAAACCATAACAAAAAAGAATTTTTTAAAAAAAGGATGTATATGTATGTATAATCATCACTTTGCTGTGTAGCAGTAATTAACACAACATTGTAAATCAACTATGCTTAAATTTAAAAAAAAAAAGACTTATATAAGAATGTCCATAGCAGCATTATGCATAACAGCTCCCAACCAGAAACTCAAATGTCCAATGGTAGAATGGATAAATTAATCGTGGTATATTCACATAATGGAACAGTATTCAGCAATGAAAATGAAAGACCTACAACCACATGCAACAACATGAATGAATCTCACAAGTAAAATGTTGAATGAAAGAAGCCAAACACAAAAGAAAGCATATTCTGTTTCCATTTATATAAAATTCAAACACAGGGAAAACTATATATGATGCTAATATTGAGGAAGGAAGAAGGGAAGAAGTAGTGACTGTGAGTGGGTGTGAGAAGGGCTTCTGCGTGTTGAAAATGATTTATTACTTGACCTGGGTGGTGGTTACATGGAGCTGTACATCTATATTTGTTTTTCTGCACATTATACTCTAATTTTATTTATTTATTTATTTATTTATTTTATTATTTTTTTTTTTTGCGGTACGCGGGCCTCTCGCTGTTGTGGCCTTTCCTGTTGCGGAGCACAGGCTCCAGACGCTTCAGGCTCAGCGGCCATGGCTCACGGGCCCAGCCGCTCCGCGGCATGTGGGATTTTCCCAGACCGGGGCACGAACCCGCGTCCTCTGCATCGGCAGGCGGACTCTCAAATACTGCGCCACCAGGGAAGCCCTATCATGATCTTTTGTATTTCTGCAGTGTCAGTTGTTACGTCTCCTTTTTCATTTCTAATTCTATTGATTTGAGTCTTCTCCCTTTTTATCTTGATGAGTTTGGCTAATGGTTTATCAATTTTGTTTATCTTCTGAAAGAACAAGCTTTTAGTTTTATTGATCTTTGCTACTGTTTCCTTCATTTCTTTTTCATTTATTTCTGATCTGCTCTAATTTTAAAACAGCCGTTAGATAGATTACATGACATGGAATGCTATGCAATATATAATGATTAAAAAAGATGCAGAAAAACCATATATGCTACGATTCCATTTCGTTAAACAGACCAGAAATCTTGTGTATCATCTGTGTTTACATACATAGTAGGAATGTTAACAATAGGTGCCTATGGGATGGACACTGAGATAGCCAGGACAGGGGGATTTTTACTTAACGGTTATCTATACTTAAAAAAAATTCTGAAACCAGGAAAGGTAATATTGTAGCACATGTTACAAATTCCAACAAGAATTCAGTAAAAAGTTTCCTTCCTATCCAATAGTGATTACAGTTTCTAATATATCCTGTCAACATTATTCTATGCACATCAAAAGATTAAAGAAACCAGCAGCATGAATAGAGGACACCATACACACAGTTCTGCACTATGCTTTTTAAATATAATATTTTGAGCTCATTCACATCAGTGCCTATTAAAGCTGCCTTACTGTTTTTAACAGTTACACAGTATTTCAACTTATGGAAATAATGTAAGTCATTCAACCAGCCCCTTAAAAAGGTATGTTTACATTGTTTCCAAGCTTCTGCAAAAATAATGCTACAATCCACATCCTTGTATATGTCTTTGAGTATATGTGTAGGGTTAATTCCTAAAAGTAAACCTGCTGGATCAAAGGGCATGTGCATCTCTAATGCTAATAACAATGGCCACACTGCCCTCTAGGGAACTGTACCAACTGATGCTCCCACTTGTGAGACCTAAGTTTCCCCACCAGGGATCCAAACCAGGGCCCCCAGCAGTTAAAGCGCCGAGTCCTAACCACTGGACCACCAGGGAATTCCGAGAAGCCTGCTTTTGCAAACATTTATTTCTATGGTTTCTATTTTACATTTAAATCTTTAGTTCATTTGGAATATGTTTCTCTAGTACTGTATATGAAAAGCTGCTCAAACTCACTCATAAGAGACACAAATTAAATACTATTCCTCACCTATCAAACTCATCTTTCATTTATATTACTGTAAGAGCCTTGTGGATTGATTAACTTATCTCAAAATTTTTCTCCCCTTGAAAATCTTCCTCCACACATGCTTTATTTTTTCCTAGCTACTATATATTGGGTACCCACTTATTAACAGGCACTGTAATGGGTACTTTTCAAACACTACCTTCAGTCTTTACAACAATGATTTAGAAATGAGACAAAGAGAGTTTAAGTGATTTACTTGCCCAAGGCCCCAGAGCTACTAGGTGTCAGAGCCAAGACTGGAACCCACATCTTTCTGGTAGCAAAGCTTGCTCTGTTCTCTAGGCTATACTACATCCTCTTTCTAAAAAAGAATTACAAGCACTTCTTATTTTTAAAACTTTCATTAAATTCTCAATGCCTATAGGATAAATTTCTTTTATGATCCAATGCAATCTGGAGTCAATCTACCTTTTGATTAAATTAATATCGTCTACTGAATTATTCGTCCTTTGCCCATTTGTCTTGTATCAGGTTTCCACATACGACTGCTTTACTTTTTGGGCTTTCTATTCTGTTCCACTGGTCTATAGTTATCACTCAAGGGTTTGTATCTTCTGTTAGTGGTAATCCCAATATCTGACAGACAGAAGATATCTACAGATAACCAGGTAGTAACTACCAGGTAGTAAACACTGGCTGATTAATTAATGTTAAGAACCCATTTCTCCCACAACGCAAGACAAATGTACCTGAGAGAGACCTCGAGTGGAACTGTAAGAACTGGCAATGGCATTGCGGCTGGAGCTAGGGATGCCACCTGTGTATGTGCTTGTCAAGGAGCTCATAGAAGAGGTGCGGGATCTCTTATTCGAGTGATCATCTGAGCTCTGGGAATTGAGACCTCTCTTCAGAGACCCAGGCCTAATAAAAAGGGGAAAAGATAGTTAGATGTATTATTAAAGACATTCTTTTAAGGCTTTGTCCATGGACACAAAATCTTCCTTTAAAAAAAAACTTAATAAAAGAGCATAATGCTCTTAATTTTATTATTAACAGTTTGGCTAAATATATTTGACAGTCAGGAAGAGAAAGCCAAATATTTTAAAAATCAAATATGTGAGTCCACTGACATAATATTCTAGAAAATGCACACTAATCTACAGTGACAGAAAACAGATCAGCAGATACCTGGAGATGGGGACAGGATGGAGGGAGGTGTTACTAAGGGGCATGGGGAGACTTTTGGAGGTGATGTTTACATTCATTATCTTGACTGTAGTGATGGTTTCACAGGTGTACGCAAGTCAAAACTTATCAAATTGTACACTTTGAACAGGCAGTTTATTATTCGCCAATTATACCTCAATAAAACTTTTTTTAAAAAATCAGAGTTAAGAGAAACCAACCACTTTTTCTCGCTTCCAACTGAAACAGAAATTCCCTGTACATCTTTCCTGTAGAATAAGTCATCCAACCCCTGTTACGATACTCAACCACGGACCAGTTTATTCTTATACTGGATGAAAATGTATTTCCTCTAACTTTCACCCATGGATACTATTTGGAACCAAACTGAGCAAACTGTTTTTCTTTTTTCACGTGACAGTCCTTCCATATTTTGGAGACCATTATCCAAATTTCCTTATTCTCCTTGAGACTTTTCCCCTCTGGGCTAGTATTCATACGCCTTCAAAACTGCCTTACCCACCACCAGCCCATAAAATCTTAGCTGCTCCACTCAGAGTACATTTCAGTTTGTGTACATGCTTACAGTGTAGTACACCAAACCAAACCCACTCCACAGACAATCTGAGAAGAGCTAAGACGAGCAAGACTACCACTCACCGGCCTCATTCTAGTCTTTGTGCTTCTATCAGCACAGACTAGGAGCACATTAGCTTTTTTGGCAGCCACAGCATACTGCTGACTCAAATTAAGCATATACGTTACCACAAGGCTTTTCACACATATTTCTGAGCCACTTTTCCTCCCAGCCCATGCCTCCTCAAATGTATTTAAACTCAAATGTAGAGATTTAACATTTATCTTAAATTTCATATTGTTACATTTTATCCATTGCACAAACCTTGTGATCTTTCTGTTTATATACTTGGTTATTAAATATATTTATAAACCCTTAGCCTTAGTGTGTTTTATCCATATTGATGAAAAAATATTAAAAGGAATTAGAAGATAGTTATTGTGGCAAGTTACTCAAAATGTTCCTCTCTGACTTCAAAGATTTGAACCTGAACTAATAAAACAATGCAAAAAAGCAAAGAAAGTCTACAGGACAGTAACTCTGATGATTCCCTTTTTCCAAACAGTCTATATCTCACCCATGGATGCTCACTTACTTAGGCACAAAAGAAGCAGGGACTCCGTTGGCCACCAGGGGCTCAAATGCTGAATGTCCGCTCCCACTGCTATCATGGCGCCTAGACAAACCAAAAAACTCTCAATTAAATGAAGTTACATTTCTTTCCCCTTAAATCATATTCCCATATTCTTGGGACCCTATACTATTCCTATGGAGCATAGGTTCCATGCTAGACAAGAGGAGGAATGCTTCAACTCCAAAGATTCCAAAAGGTAAATTTATGCTAACAGTGTCCAGGCAGTAAGAAAAGTATGAAAATACTTCAAGACCTTTTGAACTCTTCAGGTGTATCAATTATTTGCTAACTTCTCACCAAAGTATCAGAATCACAAATTTAACATCCTACCATCCCCAAACTGAAAACAAAAACAACCCTTTAGGGATCAACCCACACATCCTATAGTGCTCTAGAGGTTAATATGGCAAGTCTATTAAGGGAAAACTTTACATATCACATACAAGAAGGGCCTATGCATGGTGCACAGAATCATTGCTTATTCCCATCATGGGAAAGATAGTACAGAATCCTCAGTTATAGGCTCACTGGGGTCAAGCAAAATTACCACCCTGCAGAACATGAGAAACCTATCTGCCCCATAAAAATAGTTATTTCTTCTCCCACCTCCACACCTCCCCACCCCCCGCCACTCCTACTTAGCTAGTTGACATTAGCTCAAATTGCTCACTTGTCAATCCCATCTCTAGTCATGATTACGTGATCTTCCCGTTACATACATACACTTGCACTGATTAACATTTCCCTACTCAATTTTGTCACCTACAGTATCAAAGCTGACCAATTTTGAACCTATAGGATATGAACAATCTTCTCTAGGTAATGGGGCCAATGATTTTACATGTGGGGTCCACTGTCTCCTCAGAGAGCACTTCTTTGCCCACCTTATATAAAGAAGCCCCCTTCTCATTACCCTCTGTTATATCACTCTGTTTCTTATCTCTATACACTTATAATTGATAATTATCTTGCTTATTTTATTATCCTTATTTTTTGGTCTCTTTTCCTCAAACAAGTCCCATGAGGACTCTGTCTTGTTCAAAGCTCTCTCCGCTCTACCTAGGATAGGCTCTGGCACATAGTGGGTACTCAATGTACTGAATTAGAAAAATGACTGGACTCCTTAACTTACTCCTTTGCAGCCTGTTAAAGCCTTAACACTCGTTTTCATTAAGTTATTGAAAACAAAATAATGAAATTGGCTTTACTCTCATTACTGATAAGTCTGCCATACCCTAGTCCTCACTTTTCTTTGCCAAGCACTCCCCTCAGCACAATCACAATACTGCAACCGGTGGTTACCCAAATAACTAAACAGCACGAGATTGTGAGGCGAAGACTTTAAGCATGCTCTCTCAAAAATAAAATTTAACACGTTTGTATCAAAAGTATGAGGGTAACATGGCTAACAGTTATTGGCGTATCTCTAGTACTTATGGAAGAGGTAAATTACAAAATTTATCTAACATGTGTCTTAGGAAATGAACAGCATTAAAGCCCTTGTTATCAAGCTCTTCCATGAAAGCCAAAGAACAGGACCTACTAAGGGTCACAAACTGGAGCTGGCCTCTGTATCTTTTGGAGAGTGATCTATATTTCAACAAATCCCGGGAGCCCACCTGAGAGGCCTGTTATTACTCTGTTGTGACTGTTACCTTCTTTTATTTTCCTGGCCATCAGCAAATATTTGGTCTTCCTCCTCCACTGTCCTTTTCTTCCTCTCTCTGAGGGCATTCAGTACTGTCTCCTTTGCACATGGGTCTGGGGCACTAGCTGATGGTGAGGACAGTGTTGAGTTGATAATTTGCTCTCGTCTACAGTGAAAGATAAGATTCCAGCATCAAGATATTTTAATTACCATGCCATATAGCACAGACTTCAATCACTGGACATGAGAAGCTAACCAACAAGCAAAAGTATAATTTATACACTCACAGAAATTGCCCTTTGCAATTAAAGCTACAATCCAAGGCAAACAAAACAAAAAGATGGTTCAGTTACTAGAATTTGGGATTTTCTCATTCAAATAAGCAGGTACTTCTTCTGCTTTGTCACAGGAATAACCAAAGAATAAAGTGGACAAATGGGAGTCTATTCTTCTAACGACAATACTCACATCGGAGAACGAGTCAATTTGCTATCTGGAGGAGCAATCCTCACTGTCACTGGGCTGCACACCATTTTGGAATTACGAGCAGATAGCACAGTCTTCTTGTGATGACCATTCCAGCATACTGTGGGAAGTACCCCCAGCAAGGAATATTGGGTCTGTTGAATTGGATATCTTCTTCGAGGTGTTATTACAAACCGATGTGATAAAGTCCCACAATCCCTGTGAAGAATGGGAGATACCAAAGAAGCTTAAAGGAATGTCAGAAAATTTAAATGACTAAAGAACCACGTGGGTTCAGATATTTTCCAGAGAGTTTAAACCTCTTTCTAAGCAACAAAGAACACACGGTATTTTTATGGCAACTTTCCCCCATTTCGTCTAAGGGCAGAAAGTGACAGCTGCTTAACAGCTGTCCCTACAATAGACTTCAACAGTTTGAGAGGGAAATTGAAAACCTTGCCCACACAAGTAAACTACGATGGAAGAAAAGTGTGTGTTAGGATGTGTAGGGAGAAACTTTTCAAGAATCCTTCACTCTTTTATGCTAATCCATCAGTAACATACACTCAAAGTTAAACATTTTTAACACCTAATAACACCTAAACATTCATCTTCTCAAATAAATGTACTTTTCAAGAATCTAATATTTTCACCAAATTTTTGTATTCTCTTGTATCACTCAGCTATCGGGACTAAATGAAACTGTCTCTTTGATTTGATCATCTTTATCTACCAAGTTTTATCAATCAAAGAGGTGTTTCCTGGGAACACCTCTTTGAGCTCGGCTAACCATAGAATTTCTCTTAGTGGTCCAAAGAAAAAACATCTAACAAAACATACTCTATGACTACACTCGAAAGATAAAGACATTTTCACTAGAAGTAGGGATACTTAATGGTTTATCAAGTATTCTGCTAAATCTATACTGTATGAAAATTCAGACAGGTTTAAGAACTAAAAGGAAGGAAACAGCTGTGGCATCACATCTCATTCCAAAGGGTAAAGGAGGGCAGGAGACGACTGACACGCATCGAGGTGTTCAAGATGGCAAAACGACACACAATCCACTTTGGACTTAATGAAAAAGAAAATCGGATTTGAAAGTCAAGTCCCTAATTCAAAGCCCGTCGACAGAGAGGATAGTGTGGGAAAGATCAGGGTTATCTTACCGCTGGGAAGGCCTCCTAGAGGATCGGAGGAGAGGAGCGGGGAGGAAGGGGTGAACTTGAACGCCACGGGGATGCGCCGACTGAGCGGGCGGCGCGGTGCGGGCGGGTGGGCGTCGGCCCGGCCTCTCCCGCAGGTCCCTGCTCTCCGGGGCAGGGGCAGGCTGCGGGGGGCCTGGCTTGCCCAGGTAACTGCCCAAGAGGAGCAGTTCTGCGGGGTCGGGTCCTTCCAGCAGGCTCCGCGGCTCTAAAAGATTTCCGTTTACTGCCGACTTGGCCGGAGGCGAGGCGAGCAGTGTTCGCTGACGCCTGACGTTCCGAACCAGCGAGAAGGCGCGCGAACCCCGGGGCTCGCGGCTCAGTCCCCACCAGGCCGCGGTAGCCCCCACAGCCAGCCAGGCCAGCGCAGCCGCCGCCGGCACCAGGTACAGCACGAGGCCGAGCAGCGACAGGACGAGAAGCGCCGCCCCGGCCGGCCCGCCGCAGCCCCAGCCCCGGCCCCGGCCGTCCCTGACACTCGCTAACGGCCGCCGTCGGTCGCCTCCTCCAGCCGCCGAAGCCGCCGGAGACATCGCGGCTCCGCGCCGCGGAGAAGACTTAAATATCCCAGCGTGCACCGCGCCGCGCGTCGCGTCACCGCGCGCCGACTGCGTCACTGCGCACGCGACTCGGACGCGCGACAGCGAAGGGAAACGCTACTGCCTGGCGACGCGTTAGACCCGACCCGTTTCAGAAAATGCCGCCTCGCTAAACGCCGAGTTGTGATTCTTGTCCCTCGTGTACACCCGCACAGCACCCATCCAGAGGTGAGCCTCTTGGAAGAATCGCGTTAGAAATAAAAGCTCCGGAAAGCGACTAGACTACTCACGTAATGCTTATTTTCTAGGGGCCTAAACACCCTAGAAGAGATTATCAGGCACTTTCACAATTGCTACCTGAGGCTGCTAGTTTTTTCAGTTACTCAGTTTTCTGCCAAAGTATAAACTGCTAAAGGGAGCTGACTTCAACAGCAATAGTAAAAATCAAGACCAACCCAAACTATCCACCCTCATTAAATGTGGATCTGGTACTAATAAATTCCCGATCAAACTGCCTAATAGTCTAATAAACTGCAGATCAGACCTGAAGCTGCAATAGAAGTTTGCGTTTCTGCAGTACACATTGATAAAGGGGGGCAATTATCTACCAAATTTCACATTATGCTCCAGAATCGGGTAGATTTTTAGGATTTGTGATCAATTTACCTTTGTTAAGTTTGGTGGCCTGAGAAAGTAGATTAGTGTTTGTCTAGGTCTGGGGAGTGTGTTGGGCGTCAGGGGATGGAGAGTGACTACTGAAGGGTAGAGTTTACTTTTGGCGGGGACAAAAATGTTTAAAAATTAGATTATGGTGATTGTTGCACAACCCTGTGAAATTGTATGGTATTTGAATTATATCTTAATAAAACTGTTTAAAAAAAACTTGGTGGTCTGCTAATTCAGGCTTTGGCCTAGCTCAGCTTCCTTGGCCATTCATTCATTGATTTACTCATTCTATTACTGATACACATTAAAGAGAGTAATGGGGGGAAAACACAGGGTCTCTGATCTCTAGAAGCCCTGAGTTTAGTAGGGAAGAAAGATGTGTAAATAGAAAGTTACAATTCATCGTGGTAAGTGTGATAACAGAGGCACAAAAAGGGAAGGATTGGTAAAGGGGAAGATGGGCTGGGAGGTGCTACTTGAGCTAAGAGAACTGGCTCAAAGCAGGTTCAAGGCAGATGAAGAAGGATTTTGCAGAAGCACAGAGGTGGAAAGGAGTATATGACACAAGAGTTTGCAAACAGTTTGATATGGCTGGAGATCAGGATGTTTGGTGGAATAGGGAGGTTGGAAAGATAGGAGAGGCTCAGAAAAAGATGCCTCTGGAGCAACTGGGAGAGATGAGAAAAACAAACAGTTCTTCTCTTCCCCAACACATTGCCAGGGCAATTCTGCTTCTATTTGTTCAATATACTGTAATTTCATATCAAACTTCATTTGAAAAGGGAAGGGTATGGGCTGTGTTCCTTAAGAAAAAAATCTTGGGAATTCCCTGGCAGTCCAGTGGTTAGGACTCCGCACTTTCACTGCTGTGGGCTGGGTCTGATCCCTCACTGAGGAACGAAGATCCTGCAAGATGTGTGGCGCAGTCAAAAAAAAAAAATCTCAAACAGTACTGGTATCAGTGGAATAGTGGGACAAAGCCAAGGTGCAATGGGTTAAAGAGTGAATAGAAGATGAAGAAATGGAGGCAGCGGCTGTGGACGTCCCATTCAAGAAACCTCAATAAGGGAAGAAGGAAGATAGTATCTTGCTCAGCAAGGGTCCTTTAAATAATCATATACTACTGGTGTTCAAGAGAGGAGCTAGATGTAAAAGCCATCAGTGTACAGATGCTACAAGACTAAGTAAGATTTCTTGGGAATTAATGTAGATAAAGAGGTCCAAGGCCTGAGCCATGGGGCACCCAGTGTTTAGAGGTCAAAGAAATGGATGCACAAAAAGCACAAATCATTTAGCAAAACAAAGATAAATATCACTACATTAAAATTTAACACTTCTGTATGGGAAAAGACAGCACAGGCTGCTAAAAGACAAGCCAAGACCGGGAAAACACGATTCTTAACTCATCTAACCAAGAAAGGATTAGTAACTAGAATTTATTAGGAACTCCTAAGAATCAGTAACGAAAAGGTGACCCAATTGTTAAGAAGGACAGTGATATCAAATGCAATTTATTGAATAGGAAATCCAATGGCCAATAATAAATATATACATATGTTCATGTATATATATGTGTATGTATATGCATGTGTGTATATATATATATGTACACACACGTACATATATATTTTAACCTCACCAGTAATCTAGGAATGGTTTATCGATGTAACAGGATAACATTTTGCATTCATTTGCACAAGTAGAAAAATGTAATAGTTCAACAAGATCAAATTTTGGCAAGGATGTGGAACAACTGGAATTCGTGTGCTGTATGTGGATATGTAAAATGATATAATTTGGAGAGCAATTTGGCAATATCACATAAAGTTGAAATAATGTATCTCATAACCCTGTGGGTAAAGATAGTCATTGCAGCAGCATTTGTATAAATGACAATTTGAATACATCTAAATGTCTAACGTCTACTAACACAAGAATGGATGAACAGTGGTATAATTCATATAATAAAATACTATAAAAGCAGCTGAAAATTAACAACCTATCCAGCCATGATTAAGTGATACCAGACTAGTCCTCCTGCCATAAACAACTACACAAATGGACAAAAATTTAAGAGGCAACTACTGTGAGAGTATTTCTGGATGAAATAAACACTTGAATTGGTAGACTGAGTAAGAAAGATTGCTCTTTCCACAGTGGGTGGGCCTCAACCAATCCACTGAAGGGCTGAATAGAACAAAAGGGATGAGTCGGAATTCTCTCTGCTTGTCTTTAAGCGGGGACATCAGTCTTTTCCTGCTTTTAGACTTGGACTTGGACTAGAACTCAAACTATTGGCTCTTCTGCTTCTTGGACTGGAACTACACCAGCAGCTCTCCTGGGTCTCCAGCTTGCCGACTACAAATCTTGGGACTTCTCAGCTTCCATAATTACATTAACCAATTCCTAATTTCTCCTGTTAGTAGTAGTAGTAGTAGTAATAATAATAATAATAATAATAATAATAATAAATATGTGTGTGTGTATCTCTATCCTATTGGCTCTGTTTCTCTGGAGAACCCTGAATAATACAGCCAGGCTGTATATGCAGTGTGAGACAACCTGAGGCTCACCAGAAAGCAGGTATATGGGGCTTTCTGGTATATGGGGCTAAGATTAGAACAAAGATACCAGAGTTAGAGCAGTCCTTGGATAAGAGCATTGCCAAGGGATCTGTGGCCCTGCCAAAGTGGAGGGATCTCATAAATGCATCTTTAACACCCTTGGCATCCAGTTGAAACAGTAGAAAGGTTACAGTTTGGGGTACAGACCATAGTCTAGACATACTCTAGGTCTGCCCTAATAAAGCCTAAGTCAACCATGACAAGATCCACAGGAAAAGAGTTTGAAGGTTGAGTCTCACCAAGCTAGGCACGGGAAACACTTTAGGCTCTCCACTGATCTGTAAAAACAAAACAAAACCAAGCTTGAACAAGTGTAAGATCATTAGCTAGTAATTACATTGCCTACTAAAACAATCTATATACTTCATAGAGAGATAACAGACTCCAGAGTATTGTTCACAATGCACAATATTTGACAAAAGGTCATTTAGACATATAAAGAAAAAAGAAAATGTGATCCATAATCAAGAAAAAAAGCAGTATATATAAATGAACCCAAGATGGTCTAAACGTTAGACTTAGCCAACCAAGATTTTAAGGGAAATATTATAAATATGTCCAAAGAATTAAAGGAAAACATGGTCTTAATGAGCAAACAGATAAAGAATGTACAAAGAAATGGAAATTCTAAGGAAGAAACAAATAAATGATAAAACTTAAAAAATAAAATAATTGAAAAAACTCACCAGATAGGCTTAACAGAAGATCAGAGACAACAAAATAAAGTCAGTGAACTTAAAGACAGATCAGTAGAAACTGTCTCATAATGAACAGACCCTCTGGGACCTCTGAAGCACTGTCAAATAGTGCTATCAAATAGTGCTATCTATCATATGTGTAGCTGGACTCTCAAAAGAAAATGTGAGATTGGGGCAGAAATATTTTTAAAATAACATCCAAATTTCCCAAATGTGGTGAAAAATAACAACTTAAAGATCCATGAAGCTGACCAAACCACATACAAATATGTTTCTTCCCATCAGAAACAAGACAGGCTAGAAGACAAATGGTTTCTTTTAAATGCTAAGGGAAAAAGGCTTGTCATTCCAGAATTCTATGTTCAGCAAAAAATCCTTCAAAAATGAGGGAGAAATAAAGACACTTCCTTGTGAATAAAAATACACTCTAAGAAATGTTGAAGGTTGCCCTTTAGACAAAGGGAGCTAAGACCAGATAGAAATCTGTAACTACAGGAAGGAATAAAGACCATCATGGTAAATAAATGAGTAAATATAAAAAACTATGTTTATGATAGTCATAATTTAATTTAAGAATTGATTTTTTCAAATAAAAATAATAGAGATATTGTGAGATTAATACAACAAATATAGAAGAAAAAGATGTAATAACCATCACCAAAAGCTGGATTGTGGGGAGGATAAATGGAATTATACTATTGTAAGGTTATTACATTTGTGACAGCAGAAAGTGGGAAACTTCAAGTGTCAGGTATGATGTGAGAAGGAATATGGTGAAATAGGAAAGTGAAGGGTGAAGATGTTCAGTAGTATTCTACTGTCACTAAACATAAAAGGATTGATATAAAACAAAGGATGTTCTCTGACTATAACAGAATTACACTAGAAATCATCAACAGAAACATAAAAGGAGAATCTCCAAACACTTGATAATTAAACAACACAATTCTAAATAATCTATGGGTCAAAGAACAAGTCTCAAGGGACATTAGAAAATATTTTGAAC